AATCTGGAGTAGGGCTGGGCCATATCATACCGTTCAGGTAATACCAGTGTAATATTAGGCAATGATAAGAAAATGAAATATCGCAATAGAATACGGGTAAAACGCGCATGCGCAGTGCCTTTGTTTTCATACGCACATGGCAGAAAAAGCATTGCGGCTACGGAGAATGAGAAGGGCGAAAGCGGATCGTTGAATGACAGATGAACCAGAATTGGTTTATAGATGCAACTTCAGTGGTGTGGAACTGGTTTGGCTTTCGTCTGTCAGATGCACACCAAAGCACTATTTTGTAGAGCATGCAAGCAGGCCGTTGTTATTAACGTGTTTTTCGGAAAATAAGTCGCTCTTAAAATCCTTTGATTTTTCTGAAAAATTGACAGTGCCCAATATAATTCTTATGTATGAATTCTGGTTGTGCTTACTGACCTCGAACTGATTTATGTGCTACACGGCGCTCGAAAACCTGTCAAAAAATGTTTTAGTACAGTTTTAGTACTAAGCTACAGAGCTGCACCGCTTGACAGATTGTCGGAGCATTACAGCTACCGTAGTCAGGAGTCTCCCGGAGTGATATGTACTGTGCTTCAACATAATATTACTGTATTGTGTGTATAACCTCTTTTTAAGTTTTGTGGATATGTCGGCCAATTTCCACTGGAAATGCCTTTTGGTTAAACTGTCAGCAAGGAATTTGCATTTGCACTGTTAATTTTTTATATAACTTTAATGCACTTAAAAAAGCTGCTTGTTTAAGTGAAAATACATTGATTTTTTTTTTTGCGCTAATAAAGTTGTGGAGTTGTAAAGTATTTTGTCTAGTGTCAATTATATCGTTATCGCAAATTTTCAAATATATATCGTGATAAAAATTTTTGGCCATATTGCCCTGCCCTAATCTGGAGCATTTGTTTCATTCACTATCTAGGAAGAGAATGAGGTGACAGAGTTCTTTGTGACGCTGGAAAAGGATCCTCAGCAAGAGGACTTTTTGCAGGGTCGCATGCCAGGAAACCCCTACAGCAGCAACGAGCCCGGCATCGGTCCTCTGATGAGGGACATCAAAAACAAGATCTGCCAAGACTGCGACCTGGTGGCTCTTCTTGAAGATGACAGTGGCATGGAGGTAAAGTAACCTTACATTTGAGTTGCTTTGAAGGTTTCCTTTTCTTGTGAAATTATAAAAGGTGACACAGTTCAAGAAAAAATTACCAGATGTGTTTTTTGTTTTGTTTTGGGGTTTTTTTGTTTTTCAGCTTCTGGTAAACAACAAAATCATTAGTTTGGATTTGTCAGTGGCAGAGGTCTATAAGAAGGTGTGGTGTCCTACAAATGAGGTGAGACTCACATTTTCTATGAAT